TGACATTCGCATAAATACTGCTTTAAAAATTTGGGGCTACCAGTGATTGATCTTGGGCTACCAGATTTAAAAAGTGGTAGCCCAGATGGACTACCAAAAAAAAAAGTTAATTTCGAGCCCTGTTCTACCTACCCTAGCTACCACACAATTGTTTTTGTCCTAATTAGACCGAATACAGTACTTTTGCTGTTCTCTTTTTTAATTTCATTTACATATATAATAAGTTCTTAAATTACTGGCAGATAAAAAGATAACAATGTCTGGTGATACACAATAAAGACTTTATGAAAAATTGATTTCTTGTTCTGACCAATAGCAGGACGGAATTCCACGGAAGATCAGCTGTCATGAATACCACAAAAAAACAAAAAAAAGTATACACTAAGAAGACTAAAATAATAACCTTGCCATATTTTCACATACTGTCAATCCAATTAATTACCATATTCAGTACTTTGATGTTTGAGCATATTCAGCACAGAGAAACAATGAGTTGTATTTATTCTACATGTTCAATCAGTTGATAGATGCATATTAACAGGCCATATACCACCAACTGTGCTAGAAAAACCATACACACTGCTCCGAATTTCTCGATTTTTTCGACTAATATCGGTAACATAAAAGTAGGGCATTGGCGAAATTTGAAAGAGCAAATAATATTCCCCAAACTGGTATGATGATTCCTTGTCTGAGTTTGTGGACAATATTCTGCTGACGTCGCAGAATTTTGCTCACCGAATTTCTCTCACCCAAATTGTGCTCAATGTTTGGTATACGTAGACTCCGCGGTCTCAGCAGTTTGTGGAACTAAGAGTCTTTCCTGTCGGGACATTTTGCGAAAATGCATTTTAATAAAACCGTAAACAAGAACTAACCTGTCGTTTGTTTTTAAATAGCTTCCTGTCATTATCATACGATTTGTCCTGCTTGACCCCCTAGCCATTTAACAAAAGTATTCCCCACATGCATGATTACATATATATATATATATATATATATATATATATTTTATTTTAATGTGCTGTTATTTCTTTTATTGCGTCTGTTTTATTAGCATTTCCAAAATAAACTAACCCATGGACATCTCATGTACCGGGTATATGGCGGGACGTTGCCCCTTGTTGAAATCTCACGACGACCAACGATGAATGACCAGCGCCCCCAAACGATATTCCTCGTTAAAGTGTAACACTTTGTTTCCCACTAAGTCGTGTAAGCATGTATATATTTATAATACAGTAATAATCGTAAAAAGATATTAATAGTTCAACTAGTTAGATTACAGTCTTATGTAAACATTACATAAATAGTGACATACGAATTTGTTATTCACCATTTGACAACTCCGTCTGGCAGTTGCAGCCAATAAACCAAATAAATTAAGTGCAGTCAGGTGAAAATCCAATCAATTTATTCGTTCTTAAAATGCTAAATTCATTGGGGCTATAAGTAGGTTGTCCATTGTTTGTGAAAATCAAATTGAGAGCCAATCACATAGTAACCATATAGCTTCGTTGGCACGTGAATATGCATGTATTTTAGTAATTGTATAAAACAACTTGAAAGCAACAGTATTTTTCAAACGACGATAACAAAACCTGTCTTTGTGGATTTAAATTATTCCCGGAATTTTGATGTAATCACATGCATGGTTGACACTGTAGTTTTCATAATCACGTGCAAATTAAGAATAATAATTTATTTCCCGTCATATTTGCAAAAAATAAATATATGTTTGACTAATATGTGTCGTGAAAATGGTGGATTCGCTCAACTAGCACTATGGTAATTTACTAACAATTTTCAACTATTGTATTTATTAAGTTTATGTTATTTTAATTTTATTTTAAGCATGCTTAAAGTGTGGTAGTCGTCGCGCCACGCATGAGCGAGATACATGGGTCTCATATAAACAAAGATGGCTACTATGACTGTTGCGCAGATCAATGAGTACAAACTGAGATGTTGCTAAGCTTTAATTATGTATTTTAGGTGATTGGAAGGTATCGAAGGAGTCACCGGCAGTAATTGATGCAAGTCGCGCCCAGGTCAAACCTCTAACTTGTGATTTCCATTAGTAGAACGCATTGGATTGTGGAAAAATCAATGTTTATCAACACAAATGACATGCGCAGCGCGACGACCACCGCCCTTTAACATGTATCTGCAGTGCTGCATAACCCATGCACTAAAACTGAAAAGATGATGGTCTTTACGTCGAATCGATGATTTATAATTCATTGATACCATAATACTATTACAGCGGGTGCCGAAATAAACAGATCAACAAAAGTGCTTTTCTCTATAATTTTTCTCAAACATTGCAATATTCCTTGTTACGTGTGACTTTGCATTCAACCGTTGACAGATTGCAGATCAAACGTTCTACTATTATTTGAGGAGGTTTTTCGAATTTGAAATTAAATTGTATGCTTGATTCAATGTATTCAAGTGTAGAACGCTCATAGGATTACAACAATCACCATTTCAATATTTCACGCAGTTCTTTAGCTCAAAATCGAAAACGGTTTTCACAGAGGAACATCGCCCACAAAATCAACCGTTCAGAGCACCGTCTTGCAAAGCGATTCTGAAATTTCGGCGTTATCCACGGTAACTGTTGTAATTTGAATATGAACAAAAATCATGATATTCAGTCATAAATTGAATTTTCATCCTCGACATAGTGCGGGGGAGTATATACTGTATATAAATTTTACCCCTCATCATTCTTGGTAAAGATTGTACCAAAGGATATTGCAATGTTACAAGGGAAATTCGTTTCGCCGTCCGCTGTAGAAATTCCACTAACCTCGAAACAAACGAAGAAAATATTAGATGATGCCGTGTTTTTTCAACAAAACTCCGTGCGGACGCCTGTTCGTTCGTCTACTAAAGACACACTCACGTATGTGTAAGAGGCGTACGTGTATGTGCATTTATCTATTGACAACCAATGTCTAAGGATGTTTATACTCCCTCAATAATGGAGCATCTTCTTTTACTCCTTCATGACTTGACTTAATACATAATATCTGGGTTATTTGTGTCGACAAACGGAAACTACTCTGTTTTTGTTCCGCACCTTGACACACAACATATAATTGCACACGTACACTCTACCTAATACGAGTCGTTCGTCAGTAAGACACTAAATGTATCGACTAAATCATGGGAAGTGATAACCATGATGACGATGCTTACAAGAGCAGAGACAAAACACATTTCCGGTTACTATGACTATACCGCCGCAATTGTATACGACTACCTTATTATTTTGCGCGTGTCAAATAGTTAATAACAAGCATATGGTGTAAACTATTCCATATAACTAGTAACCCATCAATTGCAAATTCAACAAACGCATCATAATTTCTGTTACTGTCGAAATGTAACGACGCCTACCTGTGGTTTCAACTGCTTCTTCTTAGACGAAGGTCCGTTCTCACGTTTTAAATACGCCGTACGAAGCATTGCTGACTGCAGATTAACTACACTCGGGCCCCGCTCACAGCTTGAGTCAAGTTGCTCTTACGATAGTCAAGTCTTCTCGATAGACTCAAACTGAACAGAGCGCCTTTACCTCAGATTTTAAGCTAACGAAGATCAGTTATATATTAAAAGTACTTGTACGTGATTGTACAGAGCTGTGTATAGAATGTCTTACTTTGTATTAATGAATAATTTTAAGCCATTAAATTACTAATAACGGACAATGGATAATGTACATTAAAAATCTCCTTCTCTCAATTGTGAAGTGTGTAAGGTGCTTTGTGTTCACACGTCGGATTGTCCCGAACAACCGTGATATGCGTGTTATTCAACTATTTACACATATTAATATAAATGATAGCCTCGTTCCAGAACACAGTACTATCAACCAACCTTTCAGGATGTTTTTCCCAGAACGAATATTTGTTTGCAAAAAAATGCATACATTTTTTTAACAGTTTCTAAAAGTAGCCATGTAAAGCATTATTTCATCAAAAAAGATAAGAGTAATCATTGCGATGTCGTGAAAATTCTCTTCAACCACAATTCCCTACAAAAGTTTGAGATCTGGTGAAAAATAAATAAAACCATCATGGTAAAAACGTCAAAATACATCCGTTTGAATGGTAGCCAACTACCTTAATGCTCTGAAAATTGAAATGTCACGATCGTTTTGTGTATTATTATAAGTTGTTCTATCGATTAATGTTCTATAATGTTTCGATAATGTTTTCTTAAATATTACTTTAAAACTTAAGTGAGACACAGAACACGTTTCTGGAAAATGACTATGATACTGAGTGAGAGCAGGTTTTGCCAGTATACGCGAGTAAATTGCATCCATATTCTCATATAATTGGAATAAAAATATAACATTTATGTAAACTCAACCCATACGTAAAACGTTGCAGAGCTTTTGATTATTATTTTGGTGTTAGCATTTGTATAATATTTATTTTGAAATGTATTTCCATAGTTTGTACATGGATATAACAGTTGGCAATACCAAAATAGTTAATATATCTCCTCTGTCATTCAACGTCGTCATAGATCTTACAAAAATTGCAAATCACGTAAAGGGTTCAAGTTGGTATGGTATGTGTAGTTGTATCATGTGAAACGAGATACTACTAGTACATTAACATAGAACAGGTTTCCATGGCGACGACAGGTAGATAAGGGATGGGCTATTTTAATTTTTATGAGGCGAGTTTATGATTTGAAAGTCTATATGAGAAAATAGCAAACACTTTAGTCCCTCTGAAAAGAAAACAGTTATTCAAAATAACCCATACCCAAGCCTTCACATATAGAGAGCGGATGAGTACATTTTTGAAGTTATGATACAACGTGAATCTAGTCAATCCAGAAGAAATATTGATTCTCCCCTTCATGGTCAACGACATAAAATTTATCAAAACCATTTCGATAAAAATAATTTTTACAGGCGGTATGTAATGTACAATAAAAGATTTCCCCTTCTTAAACTCCACTGTCAATAGCTCAGTTTGTGTACAGTATGTCACGTACAAGCATTCATCAAAGCAGGGCTTTTTGTGAGTTTACTTTTTCAAAGGCAATGAACACGGCATTGGAGTAATAATATTAAAAGGTTTATTGAACACTCATATTATAATGAATATCAAAACATATTTGTAAAGCTGCTTAATGAAGGAATAGATTTCATATAAGATATCGCCACGGAGGGCAGTATTGCATTTTTTTTATAAACTATTAAGTTTTGATGTTATTTTTTTGATATCATCTCATTCTGGTAATAAGATATTTACCACTCCTCTGCGCGTTATTTATTTGTCAGTAATTATTTCATGTCAATTTCATACAAAGGGCTGCCGCACCTTGGAAAACCTATTATAGCTGAACGTAATGGTAAATTGAACCAAATAAAACCTTGACAATGAATGTGCGCGATTACTAGCAATGGCGCATATATAAGTATGTGTTTGTCAACCGTGACTCACAAACACTATCGAACCACCACATTGGGATCTGTAACAAAGCCCAGATGCGGAACCTTTTGAGATGGATCTTGTGTTTAGTTATTTCGTGCCTGTTTAGGCGACACAATCACGTAATTCGACCATCTGAAAATAGTAGAACGAGAACGGCACGGGATATAAAGAACGGGTCACTGGATGTTGGGAGGGTGGTCAAAACTAAAAAAAATAATATAACTCCAAAAAAAATAATTGCAAAAAACAACATTGCTTCATTAATGTTTGCATCATGACATGAAATCAGTTTAAATCGCCACAGTTGCCACGCATCGCACAATCAAATAACTTTGCATAAACAATGTACATATATTTTACACAAACTGTATACATTACATGGGAACCCCACGGCTTTAGATCCATTTTAAACACGACACAGTACGACGATTGTGGTGATGGTTGGCGGTGTTTTATTGGTAGAATCCTGCACATAAATTATAATTTCTCAGAGCCAATATAAGGATACTTATTATAAATTATGTGCGATCCTGGAAACATATTCTATTATTGGTTTCTATAGCAACGACTGTTCTTTATATCTCAAATGTGCATATATCTTATATATACTGAACATTTATAGACCGACAGGTACTTCACATTGTCATTAATTATTTTTAAAATCTGGAATTTGCATAACTTTTGGCCCATTTTATTCAAAATATTGACTATTGCTCTACCGATCTACCAATTTAAACACTAAATTACATGTAAACTATGTACCTAAATATTTGTCATAGAACTATAAGTATGCTTCTTAAGAAGATTGCTGAATGGAGAAAATAGTTGCGTTCACGCACAGCTTCCTGGCACGGGATAAGAGGTCAAATTTCTTAGCCAGTGCTAAGAAAACGTGCGTAAAATCTGATCAGATTTTATAGTAATAATATCAGAATAGTCAATAGTAAACAGTGTACATGGCCATGAACCAGTTGCTCATACACTGATTACACAGTGGTTTTAAAAGGTGATAATATTTTTCTAAACTGAATTGCGACAAACCCTATTATTTATATTGTCTACAGCCTTGGTGTATGTGTACATGTAAGAGCGGAATAGATTATCACTGGCGTTGCTAAACTTTGTTGCTAAATTATTTATTAGAACATAGTAAAAAGTCACCTTTTCCACTTTCCAAAAAAATAAAACCACGCATTATGAAAATTTGTTCTAAAATTAAGGAATAAATCATATATGCAAAATATTGCACAGTTTTTTGGTGGAAAATGATTGTGTTCAAGAGGTTATTGTCTAGATCTAAAAAACCGAACTCGAGAATAACGCCAAAATTTATCAAGCTGAAAAAAATGTATTTGCAAAGTTGGCCAATGATCTCAGTGGCCCTGGGCCCAATAGTCAGGTCACGTATGTGTTTTGTCGTCTACAATTCCAATGACCCAAGTTTTCTTTAATTCAATGTCGTGGTCCAGTGCGTCCCGGCAATTTGGTTAAAATGTAAGAAGTCGGGTGCCTAACGAATGACCCCCCCCCCCCCGCCTGATCGACTATACAGTTATTGGTACAATGGTCAGAAATGGCGCCCACTATGGGTCACGTTGGTTCATCCTTGATGTGGCGACAGACGTCGGCTTCTATTAAAGTAGATAGTGCTTTCCGTTTTTACGTGACAAGATCGAGGTACTTTATTTTGTCAACAATATACTTGAAACTGGCGGCGGTCGGTTTAGGATTGTCGAGTGTTTAAATTGTGAGTGGACTGATAGAAAACAAAACATTCTAATCAGAACATTCACCTGCGTCCCTCGTGTTTGTACAGACCCCTTGTTACTTCATCTTGCATTTTAATTCTGATCACATGACGATTTATTTTCAAAAATCCGACCTTCGTATTCCGTGTGTGGACTGCTTATATAGTTCAGTGTCTCGGTCACCAATGGCAACACCATTTACACTTTGAATATAACTTATAATTTATGTCCGTTTCGCATCGAGTCTTTCTTTCCATGACACGAAAGTTGGTAGACAACTTCATTCACATTACATACACGTGTTGTCATAAATCGGATATATATGGGATTACGCAATGCCCGTACAAAGCAACCATGCTGGGTTGTGTATGGTACATTTCAATTTACGTGCAATGAAAACCATGCTGGTTTACGACATGCATATCGACGAGAAAGCGACATAGTTTGATATTATTATTCTCAGATGAACCTTTGTTTTTATGTGAAGCCAACATTATGTTTGTCTTGTCTCGTACATCGATTATAACACTGAAACATGTTAATGTCCATGTTATATATACTAGTTTTATTTCACGTGTTAGAGGTTTACTATCCGGCAAGTGAGTGCCAGGGAATATAACTTACTGACTTGGACACATGCCATCAACTTTCTGTTTGCGCAAAAAACGGACAATTTCCGTAGGGCTATTTATCGTAAATAGCTAATAATTCGTGACAACTACAAGTGCCCATCATATAACAACATATATTTTGCCACCCTATACGGAATTAAATTTTGAGATATGATGAAACATTTTACCGTCGTGACATAAATTATGGTAACATGTTTGACCCGATAATTTTGTACGAAATTGTGGGTTTTGTGAACATGGGCATAACAAAGTAACAATTGTAAAACTAATGGTAATCTGATCATTTACTTTTGATTTTGAAGAAGATTCTTGTAAGAATAACCATTCCGTCGCGGTCCTTGCTCGTATAATCGATAATACTATATGTACGCCATAGAACTAAACTTCTATGAATACAACACGTTTACCAACTGTAAATATTTGCAATTGAAACTTACCGCCATACTAGTTCGCATACTGGCCATTCTCATCCTTATGAGCGGACCGACAACCCCTCTCACCAATCCAATCCACATTGCACTTGTCTCGCTGCGTTTCCGCATTTCTATCTGCTTCGATCCAACTGTAGTCGTCATCTTAATCTCCGCTGTTTGGCACGGTGTATACGCGTAGATCACTTCGATGTATGTCTTAGGATGGTGAAATGTCGTTGTTTAGCGGCGAAATCGTACTCTCTTTAAATCTTCGCCTCAATTAGTGATGGTACGGCTCGTATATATCATGGTTATCGTAGGCCGACAACTTACACTGCTCCCATGTGGTATTAACTCCAACCACCGTACAAAGGCGTATAACGGGATCCGGAAAGGGATCAATTCGCGATCAACAAAGAGTTTAAACCTATAAAATAACACCGCTCATCTATCCACACAAGACCCCCAAAACAAAAAGTGAACGTTATGTCCCTTGTTAATGGTTTGACTTACATGCTCTATACGAGTACAACGCGATTGAGATATTCACTAGGTAACCATGGAAACGCTGGTGAAACCGAAAGACCGGTAGCAATAACTGGCAAACAGGGTGGCTTGAGGACTTCCATTCAACAGCTTCCGAATACAATGCTCACTCGTCTTTTTTTTTCAGAAACGGGAAAAGCTTGTCAAGTGAGGCATGAATTGAGTATTTAATATACGCTGTCCGTGTGCAGTTAACGCCTATATTGAGGGCAATTGACATGTAAATAGATGCAAAGATCAACTATTAAACGCACGTACAATCACGGAAAGTCTAAAATTGTGTTCTGGACCACGTTTACTATTAGTATAGCAACCATGTTTGTACACATATGACGTAGAGATAGATGGGCGTTAAAGTAACTAACTTATCCTATGCACTTTCGGAAATTCAAAATACTTACACAGGTAACATGATTTGAATTAGAAATCGGATCAAATCTGTAGGAAAACAACGAACGCTAACAAATGCACAATTAGACTGAGACAAGACAAAGCACAATACACTGAGCTAAGCAACCCTATACGACCTCTACGGGTGTACAAGTATGTGCTGTTACCAAGATAGCTTTGTGGTTATCCTGTATTATGCCGTCACGGTACAGCATCAAGTGCATTCTCATTCGTGGCACATCACCTATTGTTAACACCACAACTAATAGCCTTCGAAAATAATTAATCACGGGATGCAAATAAAGGGAATCCAATTTTACATTGTGCTGGGGAAGGTCTTCAAGTTAAGTTTGTCAAGTTAAGTTTCATGAAATGCCCATTTACGTTGAATGCAAGCGCGTGTAAGCCCCGGGGCTTTATTCCAACCGGTCACCTCGGTCATCTTCGCAATTAATGGCTTATTACTCATCGGTGAGTCGTGTATAAACGTCTTTAGCAGACTTATTACGTTTGGATATACCACTGTCAATAACCCATGGTCAATAAATAAAGTGCTAGTGCATTCTACCTGGGTGCCGAAGTGACATGCAGGACATCGTGCAAGTCAACGAATAACGTGAAGCCGGGTGATTGATTAACACAATCACAAGCTTCTCTAAGAATGTACCATTTATTTGTTCAATGTTTTTCAGTGATAAACGTATTTGAAATCAATATCTTAAATAATATAAGTTCAATAAGAATTGAATGGCATCATGTATTGGTGATGGATATAATAACATCTCTTTACTGAAAGTATACCCCACACACATTCATTCATTTACGTAGTCGAGATAAAGCAATGTATCTATGTATCGCAATTCTACTGGGACATACGTGTTAACACACGGTTCATTTAAACCTATGTGGCGGGGTTACCAGGCAGATTAAAGCTGCTGCTATACTACGATTACCATAAATTAAATACTTACAGGAAATCAATCTAGAAATTTAAAAAAAAGTCATTATTTGGTATTTACAGGTGAACCATATAGGTAACGAAACGTTAGACCGGCACACGGTTGACTGGGTGCATACAGATATTACAATATGGATCATTCAGCCATGGGCATCAGAGAAGAAAAGAAGGGCATAGACCTTTTATTAAAGGTCAGTCAATAAATGTGTCTTGTCACATACAAGTCCATATAACCCTATAATGATAAGATAACATGAGTTTGTATGGTTTATCTGAAACACAGTAATGATATTTATTTTCAAAGGTTAAAGCTGAAATTGAGTCAATGGTTTATACCAAGAGTGTGAATTTACTGGATGACTGAACAGAATACTCTTTTCAAGTCTAGTGATTTTTTGTCTATCGAAGTCACTCCATTCTTATACACGATATATATGTTGATATTCAACATATATTGAATCTGTGGAACGCACATAGGTGGGTTTTGCTGATTGTTTCGATACACGTACGTATGAAATGTGTGTATATATAACCCTTTATAACAATTCAATATGTAACATCAAGTAAACTATTTATGAAAATATGTTTTGCAGGAAAAAATATTTCTGGTTACATTTACATATCTCATAACGCACTTCAAGTTTGGCGAAATGTGCGACCACCTGTTGGTGACTCGCCATGCGTTCTTGCGTTCTTTGAACACTGCGAGCAGTTAGACATATGCAACTTATCATCGAAATATTCATCAGAAAACTGGACAATTCTAAAACGTGAAAATAATGTTATTTTACCAATTAGATACATAATTCGAGTAAAGAGTTAGTGGGGAACGTGAACTGAGTCATACTACGTCACTACATCATGGAGACGTTATTTATTTTATTCTTAATTTGAAGAGCCAAAAATAAACCTACAGTAAAAGATCATTCGAAGCTGTATGTGGCAAGAAGTGTGTACGCAAACACCTGCTGATACGAGATTTAATTCCCAGAAACAGCATACTAGTAGATCAATGATATCTTAGTACAATTACTAACCTATCGTGACTTAGTCGTTGCAATAAATGTAGGGAAGAGGTATGTACTCTATCAGGAACTTAGTACCTAAAAGTGGCATCTACCCTTCAATGTTGTAACCATAAATGAGATTTCTCTATTGCATGCATGCATTCCATGGTCCAAGTGAGAGCCAGCTCGCTAGTATTTACTAGTATAAAAATAGCTCTGTTGATTGCCGGTCTTTAATTCTATTTAGTGTATACTATTGGCGGCCATATTGCGATTGGCAACAAAATAAGAGAAAAATGAAGTTGAAGAATCTCTGTCTGTGCATGGTACGTGATTGAACCCTCAGTTACTGATATTAGCCTACGAGAAAAAATGCATGGCGCCAGAAATCTTCATGTCTTCATTTCATTTCATGAAATGCCTTCTTTTCAGATTTGAATGGGATACTGCTAAGAGTCAATATTTTGTAGTTTGCACGCACTATCTTGTCGACTCAGGTAATCGCTTTTTGACTTATTCCTATTATTATATAGACAATAAGGAACTGGCACATTATTAAAATGTTATAGTTTTTTCGATGTTCAAATATCGCACTGACTAAAAGTTCATCTTCTTAATATCAAAGTTATCGCCAAGCCCCTTAAAAGTTTGAAACGTCACAAAATGCACGAATTAAAACCAGTCGATTGTTGACGCGTTCGGAAATGGTTTCCGTACTGTATTGTTTGCACTCAGCACAGTCCCTCTATACGATAGAGGGACTGTGCACTCAGTAAGCGTTTGCACTATCAACATGCCCTTGTAATCAAGTATGTACGCGTTAAAACAAATTAGCATTTTTTTAAAAAAATGTAAAAAAAAAAAAAAAACGTCAGAGAAAAATGTATACGCTTGTAAAAAGAAAATATGAAGAGTTCTTCGGAATTTAAAGGCGATGCTGAAGTATATTGACAGAGTTGGAATGTGTGCTATCGTACATTGCAAACCCTATTGTCTATTGTGGGGGTAGGATAGGATTTCTCCACTGTAATCAACACGTTTTTTCAAGAGGTTCTTATTGACTGGAATGAATGCTTGGGTTGTTGTATACATCAAACCACTTATGGTACTAAGGAACTTGTTGGCACACACAATATTCGTTCACTACTACATTCAAATTATGATTAAAAAGAAAATTCCATCAGCTTAACCCAAGTTCATAAAAATATTATAAATAAGACATTTAGGGAGTAAAATGGCACTGGGCGGATTTAAAACGATTGCTTTATTTGTTTGAGTATGCACAAATCAACTCACAAAGCAAAATAAAGAGGGCGATCTTCTGTGGGGTTCTTCTACTTAAACCAAGCATGTACTATTCTTTTGATGCGTAATACAAAGAACTCTTCTTAAAGTATTGGGAAAGTTGGGTGTTGACCGCTTAAATTGGTTTACCCACATAAGTCACACAGAGGCTAAAAGTATGCAATTGGTAAGATATGGTTGATCCATAAGTCACAATAAATGCAAATTAGTACACCAATACAAATATATATCAAATACATGGTTAGCTACTTGCACATTTTATGCAATTCAAATAAATTTACTGAAGTATTGTTTTTCATATTACATGTATATCACACATTAACAGCAACATTGAGACAGAGAAGCATGACAAATAATTACACCCTTTGTGTTTAAACAACACATATTTCCAACAGTGAATAAATGCTTGCTGTGAAATAATTTATTTTCACTGGAACTAATTTTTGACTTTTTGGGTAATTTGTATTGAATTCATTTTCACTGATTTTTGGTGAGTTGATGTAAAATATAGGAAAAAAGGTATATTCGCTGGATTTTATTTTCACTGAATCACTCCTTCAGTGAAAATTAATTCCAAGCGAAAAAAAGTATTTTACAGTATTTATTATTTGTACAATTGACCTGATATATCTAGATGACATTTTTAATCAATGAAGACCATGTTGCTGCAGCCTCATGATGACCTGACACTACGTTGGATACAAGGATGACCCTTGAAAACAATGATATGTGGTGGCCGTTATGAAAGTGAATTTTGAATCTTACATATTGTTGGATGGAATGCATAATAAACCATCATTTTTATTTAAATAGAATTGCTGCCTAAAAATCTGAGAACAGATAAAAAATTAATACCTTGCCCCATTCTAAGCAAAAGGAATGGTAAAAGGATCTCATTATTGATGACTTGTGGAACTGTATTGTAACTAAGCAAGCAATTACCAAGTGTTAGAATAGAATGTATTTATTATACATGATTGCATCTAAGTTTATAAATAAAAGTACATGATTAAGAAAATCTGTTATATCATAATATGTACTACACTATCAAATAAGCTATGCAATGTAACCTGGCATTTGTTTGATCCTTTACTGGAAATTCAGGCATCAATGACCCTGAAGTTCATACTTGTTGACAGTTCATGGATGATTTACACCAAGTGTATCTTAAGCATACATTTTGTATACTGTCAAGTAATCCCATCCCTCTCCAAAAGCTGCTGCAGGTCAAACCAAGATGTACTAAGAGCTATAAGCCTAGTATTTGTAATGAATAATGCTCAGCAATGAAAATAACTGCATTTTACAGTATTTTGTGATGTCAACCCAAAACAGCTACCCATGTCATATCAAGCAAGGTGTGCATACATTCTTGACTAACTTGTTTACCCTTACATTGTTAACAACAATGCACAGGTATGGTGATTTATGAGAGTACTTGGATTTCTCATTTCCTGCGATCTCAACATGCCATGAAACACATAGATAATAGTGCTTATTATTCAGTTGACCTAACATCGCTGTCTGTAAATAGATTACGGTAATTTAGTGTATACCATGAGGGACAAAATAAATTAGAATGACATTCTGAGAAATGTTCTCATGTCTTGGGCCAATCAGTTCTTAAATTCAATATTCTCTCAGCCGATGCTGGTGTTAGCCTATAGACTCCAATATCATTCAATGCAGGTCGTGGCTTTGGAGTGGTAGGACTGTCATCCGATGTGTCCTCATGCAAAGCATGGAAGAGTACATCTCGCAGTAAGATGGCTGAACCTAAGTTGAGGTTCAGTAGAATACAGGCTTCCTTTACGCTGTGAAAAGAATACAAATAATCAAATGATGGTTGTTCGTCTAAATCCTATTAGCTGCGGTTAAGCATGCAAGTCAACAAGGCTGTTCAACTCAATTAACCTGCCTATCAGGCAGCCTTACAAAACTAAATATTTAAACACAGCTATTAACTGGTGACCCCAGATTGACCTTCCACCTTTGTCAACAAGAGATCTATTCAAAATCTGCTAGTCCCATACATAAGTTGGTGTAAAATTCAAAACGTTTTAACAAAATGATACAAGTGATATCCAATTTTGAATATTTGGTTCCCCAGAAATAAAACAAATTTAAAACAAGTTCAGAAGAACACATGACCTTTCGAAAAGAACTAGGAATTTGAAAACATGTAAAAGCCTGTTCATTATTTTATTAGTTATTCATATGTGCTTATTGTCTGTATGTGTAAAAACTACTTGACTTAATAACTGACTTACTCTTTAAAATAATTATCAGGTCTTTGGGTATATTCACCAAACATTGGAAATAGATTACGTGTCATATCATACTGTAGCTGTGCAGCACCACCTTCATTGAATCTGTTACTCAAAATAACCTACAGATACAAAAACATACACATTTACAGCTACATTGTCAAATCTCTATATATGCAAGTCTTTTGGCAATGTGGATATACATATCAAATATACCATATTCAATGGCAAATATCCCTCACTAAGTTGCAAATATACCATCATCAGTAGCAAATATACCATAATATTGATTCATGATTTACATACTAGTAAGAGAGAACACACGTGCAGATGGAGAGTTAATTTCAAAACAGTGTCGAGCATAATGGTGAAACATATACAAACAATTTAATCACTGTAATAGTGTTCTGACTCCTGACCCATAGGATAATATTTATGATTTTGACAGTTCATACTATTAATATTTATATACAAATGTGCCGTTTTAATAATTAAATAATAAAATCGATAACTTACCTCTTCATATATAAACTTATTGAGAGACTCAGCAACTTTCTGCCAGATGGTGTTAAATATAGAAAGACACACCTGTTGTTGTACAAGGTGCAGTCTGTCTTTCAGCATTTGAAGCATATCACAGGCTGAAGCAGATAACCCAAGCACTATGAAGTTTTTCTGTGAAGGCATTGAAAACCATCTAAGCGCAAGAAACAAAGAAGAAAGTAAGACAAGTGACAAGTATGCACACTATATGACGATTCTGTTTGTTTTGTGATATTTGTTATAATAATAGTTCCATATATAACCCAGGAAACTGTGGACAACATTCAGGACTTGTACAATGAAAATAGTTTGGCAGTATGGGACATAACACCCTGGTGTCATGAGTTTTTCATTTACCCTGTCTTACATCAAACTGTTGTGATACACAAGTTATGCATGTGATAATGGAACAAAGGTTTGAACAAATTGGCATTTACTTTAGTTTCTAGTTTTAAGTCCAAATAAAATTTCAGTAGTAGAATGATTTGGGGATTATCAAAAAAATAACATGTAAAGCTTTTGTATTGATTTTAACTTACTTATCTACTCTATAACTTCTACTTTTAGCTTTGACATCATCAACAACAGCAGCAGACATGATGCTAACCATCTCATGTCGTAGAATCTTATACAGATTTATAATTTCATCAAAGACGGTCCCTTCCATTTTATCAAGTTTACTTTCATCAAATGCCTGCGTAAGAATACTCTGATCAAGGGCAGATGATCCCTGGCTCTGCTCAACTGCTGTATTAAAACTCTCCTGCTCCATTTTAAAGTACTGAAGATGTAAAAAAAACTGAAAAGAAGAAGATACAAGTTAATTATTGATTGAAATATTAAGTTTTTTAAATTGTTCTCAATTTAGGAACTCGTCTGAAATTAATAACACAGCTCTAAAGTCAGATGATTACACATCAATAATGGCAGCAAGAAACAAAGTTCTGAAAAAAACAAAAGGCTTTACTGCTGCATCAAGAGGGCGCTATACATAATTTACAAAAACTTACCACCTGCTCCGACCACTCCTGAAGAACAACCATGACATAGTTCAACGCATTTAATATTGCACTAAAATTAGGCTCCAGTGGAACCTTAGATTCCTCTTTCATCACTTGCAGCAACCGTATTCGGAAATCATCAAGCAGTTCTAGTTGCAGTTCAAGAAATCGTAATCTGTGGACTGGGTATGGCAGATTCTTGTAACGATCTGAAAGTCGGATAAATGTACATAGAATAAAGATCACAAACATGCTATAAGACATTTTGAAAGACTAGTAAATGCAGTAGTATTTATACTACATTGCTAGATTGAACAAATTTGTTATTAGTGACAGTTTATACTGTGAAATGAGAAATATTTATTTCATTTTAGTGATTTCAATGTTCAGCTGGGATTTAAATAGATTGATCTGTGAAACTAAACGAATAAATAACATGGCACTGAGTAAACATTATTACAAGACTGGGCAAATTATTACAACTTACCTGTAATTACTAGTAAAAGTGTCATAAAATTCTCTGCACATTCTGGTACTTTGAGTTCATCTACATCACTGATGTCTTTATACTGCGACGTCCACGCATTGGCAGATGCTAACAGATTATCAGTTTTTTCCACAGCAACTGAATTACAAAAAGAGGAGCATAAGTGAAGGTATAGTAATCATTCAATACATCACCATACTTCACTGGCAAGGTGAGGTCAGATTAGGTCAGGTACAAAAACTTTTCCGAAACAGAAATGAGATGCATACTTGTTTTCTTTCTAATTCTGGTGTTAATTACCAGGGATTTTTTTAAACAAGGGAACAGGGGGGCAGCGCCCTGATGCTATGGCCATGCGCCCCCTTACCCTGGGGAGCAGATCCTCTGGCAACCATGAAATTCTGATTGACCAGGGATCACATGTGGCCTATCTGTCTGATAGTAATTTTGGCTCCAAGGAAGCCATAGAATGTTTCATTTTAACTTAGAATTATCAAAAACTTCACAACCTGGTAGTGAGAACCCCCCCCCCCCCCCCCGGTGGCGCCACTGAATTGCAGTGCTCCCTCCTACAGTTTTTTTCTAGAAAAACCCCTGAATTACACACCAAATATCAAAACAATACATACTAGTATTCACAAATATTGTAAATACTGTAAAGGGGGGATGATTATTTAACAAGACTTACATTTCTTCTCCACGTTCACCCATTTCTCATAGCAGTCATGCTCTGTGAGTATATGCAGGCATCCAGGTTGGCTGGCAGAATAACCAAAATTACTCCTGACTTCACGATCAAACAGTAAAGCTTCATCAATGGTGTGTGAGAGCAGGTTTTCATCATATAGTAGGTCAGGGATGTCTTGGGATAGCTTGGATGTAACTATAACCATCAAACCACGGATAAACTCTACCTAGTTTGAAGAGATACACCAACTCAACTTATCCAAACCATGTAAAAAAGTCTTAATGTAAGATAAGCAATTCATATGAAAAAAAACATTCTACTATCTAGAAAGTGTTTATGAAATTCAGCCTGTGGTTTTGACCCGTCCTATGAGTGGTATATTCACCAAGGGTACAAATCCTAAACTTTTTAGTTATTTTACATCTGCCCACCTTTTTCAATATGAGTCAAGAGGAAAGAATTTAAAGGTAGTTCTGCACAAGATTTGTCAATGTTCATTCACAGGTATGTACAATTTGAACTACTAATTATCTGTGATGGTATATATATCTATTTTCTCCAGAACATCCTATGTCCTGGAATGCTGTCCAATTTACATATATTCAGGATTGATTCACAATTCATGTAACCTTACCCTTGCATCCAGGTTTGCCAACCCTGCCTTGTTTAACATTGGTTGTACAGTGTTATCTAAAAATGTACAGTGATCACGAATCCAGTTCAATACTTGTGTAAAATACCATTCAGGCTGAAATAAATATATCATAACATCAAGTGAATAGTGGGAAAAAACATCAAAACTCGCCACCACATTCACATTTATCTTTCTCATCCTTTCACTTTAACTTATTGTTATGATTCTCTGCCCCCACTTCCCCAACTCATTCTTCAGTGGCTTCTACATCCTCCTTCTACTTGTTCCCCCTCATACTAAACATCACAATAATAGTTCAATAAGCAGCACATGCAAGACAAATGATGCATGTTTAGTCTGTTTTGAAACATTAATCCTCATAGCATTCACTTGTAATTTAATAAATACAATATTCTAGCTCACCTTGCTTATATTATTAGTTTGTTTCTTTCCATAAAAGTGGTACTTAAATCTTTTTTTAAGTGGATTCAGCAGTAGCTGCAATGGTAACAATATAGGCCTACACCCTGGTAATGAAGAATACTCTAATATGGACTTATCATCACTACTCAGATTATCACTACACAGCTGTCAAGGAAAACATATCAATATGGGTTTCTCATATGAAAACTGTAGAAAAACCAACACACACTTTTACTATTAAAATCTGATGTTCTTCAAATATATTATCAACATGTTTTTGATCATCAAACTTGAGGAATTCTGATAATGAATGAAAAATTTGTTTAAAATTATAAATGATAATTATAATGGGTTCAAACAGTTTTTATTACTTCATAAACATCATTGATTTCAACAGTGAACCACAATGCATTATGGGCATTTCTCTTCTTAACTCAAATTGTTGCCTTATTTTTGGGGCAGTCAAAATAGATATATAAAACATTAATCACTGCAATCCTAGTGACACTAAATAATGAACATTATATTGATGCAAACATATCAGTAACAGATTAATTCCTATCAGCCTAATGTGTAGGATTGAACTATTTATGTGCATATCTTTTTTGTTTTATTAGTAGAACATACGTTTACATAAATGACTGAGGTGTGTCTTGGTCAAAATAAATTATAATGATCAAGCGCACAATTAATGTAATTTCTGGTTTATATGCTCTAGTATTGGAAATATGTCCCTACAGAGCAAATACAGTAATAGTCAACTAGATGAGATCACCTCCAAAATACCTAATAAATAAATGCTGAAAGACATTTTATAGGCCAATTATATGAAATATGCACGTATAATACTACCTGATTTGAATGTAAAAATTAAAAACAAAGTTTCTTGACAAATACAGACTAGCATTCTGGAAAAGGAATCTAGTGTTGAGCTCAAAAAAACTCAACCAACAAAAATAGCTACATGTACATGATAATTTAATCACATTATCATAAACGAAATTACGTATACAAGGATACGGTAACTGTAACTTCAGGAGTTGCCCAAATAATGTCTCCATCTTGAGTATGAGTTCAGCATGGTTTGGTAATGGGGGACCTGGAACAGTGGATGAAATGAAAGGCCACCTTAAGATCTTCAAAACTTCATCAAATTCACTGCAGAATGAAATGGGATCAAGTTATAACACAGGCACATATACCAGGCTGATTATTTAACTTTGTAAACACTGCACCTGAAACTCTTGATGGTAAAAATATAATAAGTTTCTAGGTTAAAACAAAACATGCTCAACATTTTCTGAAAGGTTATACTGTCTGATGCTTCCTCCAAATTATTCCCCACAGCAGTATCAGTTCAATTGTTTGCATCAAGTGAAGAATCATTTTAACAATTCCTTTCATCAACAGGACTGTGCCGTGTGCTATTATCAACATGCAGCAGACAATAGAGCTCCAAATATAACAAACTGGGTTAGATAGGATATGACAGATTATTATTACCAATTTTGTGTTATCCTCGGGGCGGACATCCGGGCATTTTCACCGCCTGGCAACCCGCGGCAGTGAAAACAAAGGCCCAAAACTCGCAGAAAACGGTACTTTGGGATGATTGTTGAGACTCCTCTGAACAGTGTAACAAGATTAGCCCTACGTGTGTAACATACATAAATTTGGTTGTTCAGGATTACTTCAAAGTTGAGTTTGTGTTGTTTTCTCGAATTTTCACCGGCTCAACCGGCATTCCACAGCAACGCGCACAGAGCCCATAGAAATGCATGTACAGTGGTGCGCATCATAGCAACGTGGAACGTCTTGTGACGTAGCTCCGCCCCCGAGGATACAGGTCTTAACATAATATTGTAGGCACAGGATTGGAAATGTACAATAACATCCACCAATATAGCTGGCGAAGTACTCTTTGTTTTTATTTTTTTATGCAAAGTGTAAGTGGTGATGTTCATCCACAGATAGGATTTGAACACAGGTCTAGTAGTAGTAACAGAGATATACTTGTTAGGATAATAGATGTTGTGAAATACCTTGAAATGTTATCTTTGAGAATCTTGTACCAGAACAGCACAGTGGAACTCACAAAATCAATCAGATTATGACACGATGAGCCTTGAATAGCTTCACTGAGTTCTGCTAAGTCAGCAAAATGTATGACAGCACTGGGGATTCCTCCAGCTACGAGGGACAGTTGGATCTCTGAACTGTGGAATAATTGAAAGGGTGTTGAATTCACCAACAGAGATCCTTGGATGTCAGAACTGTTGAGAAGATGACAGGGGAAAGAAAGAGAGAACAACAAGACACAATGTGAACGCTATGTTTATTATAACTACAGTTAAGATAGAATAAACAACATGCATGACAAAGTAACCAGTGTTGTAGCCAGGTATAGCCAGTATATCATCGTAGGCATATATTGTCTCTGTGTATATTCAGAACTGGAACTACTAGTATGTGAAAATAGTTCCGACTTCACAAACACATGTCATAGACGCATGTTTCAATGACATAGAATGACCAGAATATAATTGATATATTTTCAGTTCAAAAGGGAATAACTTGACTTGTGCCTAAATGCTCAAGATGGGTAACTTTTGATTCAGACAAAAATACATTTTGTGAATGAAATTTTACTAAATAAATAGATTAGAAGTTCAAGCCGCAATCTTTTGTTGGCTGATACAAAGATATTAAAACAAATAATGCAACAATTTTGAATAGAAAATTTGAATTATCAAATATTTCCATGTAATATACCTAATTATTGTAATCGAAAAAAGGACTATGGTAAGCATAATTTATATTCAAGTGATAACCCTATCCACCAGTCATTTAAAATCCATAAAGTGACGAATTGTTTTAAACAAATTTATAAATATTGTAATTTGTTTTTATCGTGCCAAGCCATATAATTTCCTCGTTTGAAATGGTTCCATTTGATTATTCCCTTCTCAGGCCTACCATTAAGTCATTAAATTTTTGTATTTTATTTTTCTACATCCTTATTATTACCCTGTTATCACACGCAGCTCATCTTCTTTTATTTCTCATTTATGGATATTCTATACATTTCATTGATAAAGAAAATTTACTGAATTACATCACACTCCTGGCTAAAACATTGGCTTTACTGCTGTTAATAAAAATAGTTTTTAACTGTAGTACAAGTATGTGTAGTGTACAACAACTAAGGGTACCCACTGACCTATGTGATTATATCTGTATCATGCATGTGTTTAGTACGTAGGAATGCCATGGAGACGGAAAATGTTTCCCAATACCAGAATGCTTACACTAACATGCAAATTACACATCATACCTTAATTTCTCGACTTCTTCTACCCATTTCATATAATTCATGTATTTCTCTAGTTCCTTAACCTGATTTGTCATTTTAGACAACTCATTTATGATAGGTTCTGCCTTTGTAAGGTGCCTAGTGATGTCATTTCTGGTTTCTTTCTCAACAATAGCCAATTCCTGCATCCGTTTCACAGCAGACTCTGCATCATTTAAAGCTTCATTTATTCTTTGTGGGACTTCAGAACTTGCAGCTGATAACTGAAACAGTAGAATTGACACCATGCAACTGTGGAGCTTTCGAGGGAAAGAATTTTCTAAAGGTGGTCGTCATGCAACGTCCCATTTGATGTGGATATGGGACTCATAGCGACATATAAAACGCATGTAAAATACATTGTTTACATGAAATCGGAACACGTGCTGCACGGTGACCACCTGCCCTTTAAGCCCACTCCGCCCCAATGTAATAGGTTATGCCCCTCCTAATACCTATACATGTTCCAAAGAAGGGACATATACAATTGAAATTGAGGAGGGGCACTAGAGGG